TCGGTCGTTGGGTGATTGTCGTTCGCCACACAAACCTAAACCACCGTCCCTCAACACCGTGAGGTGCCTACACGAATGCCAGAACGCTATGTTCTCAGTGTTGTTACTTTGAGATGGATTGCGAACTTCCAACAAAGAAAACATGATCTTTAAGTACAAGATATAATTGAGGGATTTAATGACATAAAAATGCAAAAAACTATGAGTCACAGGCAAAAATGTATGCCACCAATAACAACCGGCGTCCGATAGCGGCAGCTGACAAAATTGCAGTGCACCCGGGTAATTGCCATCTGTTTCAAAAAACACGGGACAACGCAGGATTCGACGACGATATATGGTATTGTAATTCTCTACTATGGGTAAATAAATTACAGAAGATGATGAAGGTAATTTCGAAAGCTACAGATTTGTGACGAGTGTTCACCAACCACTGTATTAGAGCGACGGCGTGCAAAGTCTTTCGGCCGGAGTTGAGACAAGGCATATCATGTACGTGTCACAAAAACGATGCGAAAATCCACAAATATCCAGTTACAAGTAGTATGATGAGTCACAAAACTGGTTTATTTCACAACTGTACTTTCAATGGGCAAATTACGGTCCAAATTGTACAAAAACCGGAATGAAAATGTGGAAAATCCGCTGTTTAAATGATCCAAACTGTACACGACCCTGTATTTCAAATCGCGTTGTGCGTCAGTAAAAGGTCAGAAAGGTCATCGTTTGTTATGCTAATTTGTGTGTTTACGCTGCTCTATTCAACGTGGATATGTTTCATTTTCATGTGGAATAAAAATTAGTTTGTATTCAATTTGAACTGTGTTGCGCATGTAATTTTTGTATGCATTCAGCGTACAACTACATGTACATACTATTCTTATAAATATTCATGTTCAAGGGCCATACTCATGATCTTTTAGTAGATGGAAGTAAACTCTTTTTTTACTAGTTTTATCAAATTGTCAATATACTGGTATAATATAATAGCAATAGCCCCCGCCGAAGTTGGGTATACCACTTGGTATTGCACAATTCACTCCATATATGCACTCGCCTGCGGCTTGTGCATATATGTCGTGAATTGTGCAATATCTCGTGGTATACCCGCCTTTGGCGGGGGTTATTGCTTAAGTATTTAACACCTAAAGTAAAGCAGTCAAATCAATTCACATTATGAATAAGGTTACATTTGGAAATATATTTAACATTTATATCAAACACAAGTTACTGAATGGATAAGAAATATGGGCACTGATAATAATGACAATATTAATTTGGACAAAACAACAGACAAAATTAATTCTGCAAGTGAATAAATAACATGGCATCAAAAGCAGAGGTGGGTAAATACCCACTTTTTCTCTGAGCATTACCAGCAATTAAATACTGGCTGCCCATAAATGAACAAATCAGACTTACTAGAATGACATCTACCCAATAATATAAAATACAAATGGTAAATGAAATATAATCAATTTTACAAGAAAACTCACTAAATTTCATTCAAGAAAAATCTTAGTAGAAAAAAAAAGTCAAATCAATAACATATCAAAAATCTCTTTAAGGCCCCGTCACACTGTGACGTTCTGGCGATCGCTTTGCTAACGTTCGACGCGTTTGACAATCGTTAGTCAGTCGTTGCTCTAGCGTTACTTAGTTGTTACCAATCGCTCGCTTTGCAGTGAACAACTCAGTAGCGACCTGTCAACGACCGCTGAACGTACCCCTAGCGCACATAAAGCGTGCGACTAACGTCAAATTAACGACCTAACGTTAGATACACGCTCAACACGCTCACTTAACGTTTAAAAGTCGTTCGTCGCGCGCTAGTGACACGTTAGCACACGTAAATGATTTCCAGGGGTATCTTACTTAGTCGCTCATTACACGCTCCTTGTGCGTTAGGAACACGCTAGTCATACGTTAGGCACTCGTTAATCGAACGCTGGATGTGTCCTCGTTCCAGAACGCTTGGAAATTGGACGATTGGAACGTTCAGAGAACGCTGATCAAAACGTTATGATGTGATGGGGCTATTAGAAAGTAAATATGTGAATTTATGAAAGGAAATTATTTAAAATGGAAAAAGTAAACAGAACTTATGCAAAACAGATTTTAAGTAATAGTCAAAAAAAAATTAGTACAATCAAAATTTCATCAAAGATTAAAGTCTATTCACATATTTACTTTCAAGTAGAGATACTAACATTATAAATTTAGCTGACAATTTATATACAACAGAGTGACTATCAAACTGTTATTATTTATGGATTTAATATTTTTAATTTTCACATTTTATAATGTGCTCCCAATATAGAATTTTTTACAAGGAGGCATAACAGTTATTATTTATTATGTACAAGAAATATATATGTCTCATTTCAACTACCTATGAATATCGTTATTCTGTAAGCATGAAACTGATTGGATAACGCTAAGATTATTTTGTTACTCCAGTCATCCACAAGTCAAATTAACAGTCACTGTAATTAAGATCAAAGATTACTGATCAATACACTATCAGTATAAGTATACTTACATAACGCTAACACGATCACCTTATATACACTATCAGTATAAGTATACTTACATAACGCTAACATGATCACCTTATTAAATAATACTACCCCGGTAGTATCACTGGTTTGAAAGTTGGGTGTGCCCAAATTCGCCACTTGGTGGCGCTATAAACACAAATCTGTTTTTTATTTATTTATTTGTTTATTTATTTATGTTTGTGTATTATGGTAGTGGAGTTGCATTTGTGAAATACTGTGAAAGAAATGACTCAAATATACAAATATTTGTGATACAGATAGAAAAAAAGATTCTATGTACTCACCGGTGACACTTGCCTTCATCACTCGTTGAACAATTGCTCTCATTTTCAATCGTTGATTGCTGATACTTCCGTACGAATTAATAAACAACGATCGCGATTCTATAATATCGTATGTATCTAATAGCACACTGAAATTGGTTAAATTATTCCAAATCGGCCTAAACTGAATTAAATGCGGTCAATAATCTCACTTCCTCGCTCCATTCGAACTGTTCTGGGCACACATGGGTTATTACTCAATTGGGTCAACGTTAGGTCACTGCTCATGCGTGGTTTGCTATTTCTATGGCAACTTGGGGAAAGCGGGTTTAGTCTGTCGCCAAGCTCACAACACTTACAGCGGCCAAATATTCGATCAAGTACACCAAAATTGTGTTCATAAGGGTAAGTTTGCCTTATTTCTGACTATATGATGCAATGTAACAAGGCTATCTAAATGAATAATTGTTTCAAATGTTTACTCGAGCTGAACACAAACTGTCGCCCTCAACTCCGACAAAATGGCCGCGGACAGATTATTGTTTACATCTCATACTAGTTAGTTTTTTTTCACAATCCTAAGTGTGTACAACGATCAAAAACCTGAAGTGGCAACTAGTTTTCTTGTAAATTTAATTGAGTTAATTATCAAAGCCAGTCTTTCCCATTAGAAGGAAAAGACAATGTTTCATTGCATTGCATTCACGGACGCACGACTTTGGCATCACGATCAATCAAATTTATTGTCTGTGATTCACTGGACTTACAACTGTACCAAACTGACGATCATAAAATTTCACTATTCTGTAAGTTACTGATATCATTTTAGTTGCCTATATACATGTACATGTACCATGTGCTTGTTCGGTAAAATTGAACGCTGTTGCCTAGATATTGGCGGCCATGTTGGTATCCCCCTATTGCACTACAATTGGTTGTGACATACTAACAGTAAGTCAGCTGGCGTACAAGTTCAATAAATTTACTGATATTCACACTATTGGGGGGGGTACCATCTTGAATACGGCTGGAATCTATAAGAGACAAGTTTAGAATGTTTTTCTGATTCCCACAAATCAAGAAAAAAATACCAAACCTACACAGCCAAACAATCCATTCGGGTATTATAAACGCTTAAGCCAATCACTAACGGACTTCAAACTCATTTTGCATTTTTGATGGAAAAATCTTTTGCCTATGGCACCTCATTACACAAAAAACAGGAGTATTTGAAACTGAAATCTTTCAACTGTAAGGACGTTGCTTATTGGCTTCTTCAGTTGGATGGTAATTTTAGTTTCAAATACCCCAAAAACTGTTCTAAGTTCAATATATGTGTGTGTGATGAGGCTCAACCAAATACAATATTAGAATGGCAACCAGTTTTAAAGAGATCCTAGTTTGCATTTACTGGCAAGTTATAGTCATTACCATAATACATGTACTCAATTTATCCACAGTCTTTATCAATTTGTGCACTTTTAATAGTGAAATTCCCTTTCACTGTGAGATTGTACAAAATCAAGCATCTGCTGTTAAAATCAAATGATCTGATTTTGAACTAGAATTTCTTTTTTACATAAAAAATGCTATTTTTGACTTCTTCTTGAAAACTACTACATGTATCTCAGTTGTTTGACACTTTGTATGTACATGTAGGTACATTGTACTATGGGTTCAAATTTGTAATTCTCATAATAATAGTAATAATAACAATAGTAATTCTCATGGCAAAAACGAACTAAATGGTTGTGATATGGCAAGAACATTGTGGGAACAATAATAACCATGGCAAATAGTTAATATCTCATTGTACAGAACATTATCAACCTTTTTTTGAGGAAGACACACTACTAAGACAGCGGAGCTATTCTGACTATTCCGAGCTACCGGTACTCCGTGAGACTGCTTGTGCCATCAGATTATTCCTCGTGATTAGTTAAAAATATTTCATTTATGGAGTCGTCAATGTTTTTCTGGTTATAGCAACACATTGGCATCTACATGTATTTGAACAATTGTGTGGTTATTCAAGAGGAAATTCAGTTTCAATCATCTATTTTGAATTTCTGATTAGATTCAAAAACTTATTGGTTAATTTAAAAAATTGTGTGGGATAAATTTACAAGTAAATGGTAAAATAGAAGTATATTCATAATTCTGATTAGCAGTGATGAATGTGGTATATTAATAATACATGTACAATGTACCATACATGTACATGTAGTTGAGAAGACTAATCACATCATTGTAATTCTGTTGTAGGTATTGATTCTTGTTTAGAATGGCGTCAGAAGAAGATGGTCCCAAAATAAGACCACCAGAACATGTCAACATAACTGTTCTCAGAGCAAGAAACTTAGTAAGTTACGTTTCAACACATTACCAATTCCTTTTATTAAAGAGACACTGTGATCAAAACTGCACATACATGTATGTACAATGGATGGTCCCTGGTACCAATAAGATTCATCATACATGTATTTTGTATTTCTATGGACCTGGGACCCTAGTGAGATTTTAGTGAAAATGTGGCAGTGCATTTGGTTTTACAATCAGCTAGGAATCCCTGTGTTGTAATCCTGTATTATCTAAGACCTCCATTGAGTGACAGCTATATTACTGGCAATTGTTGATGTTTCAATATTACCTGTTTATTTATTGGTGACTATGATTAAAATAACTAGCGGTATATATGAACTGTGCCAAAAAAACTCTACAACATCTATAAGTATTTATAAACAGTATGGTACATATTTTGACTTCCTTTTATTTCCATTTTATGTTTAATACAGACAGCATTTATACAGTACATTATTAAGGTAGCGAGAAGGGAAATTTTAACTTAACTCTTGATTGTTTAAAAAGAGAGTAATCACCTATACACCCAGTGTAAGGGAACTGTCAACGAGAAGTGGCTCGTGATTTATCAGGCTCGAATAAATGCGAGTTGTCACTTAAACATACTAATGGAACATGATTTTTTAGGGGAGCGTCGATTATTTCGGAGGATCCTCGGAAAAGTCTGTTGGGAATCTTCGTAGGAATGGTGTGAAATATATCGATGGAAATAACAGGGACTGGCGGGGGAGGGGGAGGAGGTGTGAGACGACATTGTTGTTATTGTGAACGGCGGCGGCGTTAACAACGAAGGGGGGGTGAGCCAGTATGTTAAAATTTGGGGCGCTTATCATTTACCGTGGCGTAGAGGGCGTCGGTATATGGTCGGCGGTGCTACTGGGGAGTAGACACCGTGGCGGATAACTATAGCGGTCGTTCAAAGGGGCGGTGAAAATGGGAAGTGTAAATACCTGGCGAGGTGTCAACGGGGGAATTGTAAATGGAGATAGAAAAAAACTAAAACTAAAACTAAACGTAACTAGGCAAATAGGGGATCGGTTTTATAGAGCGGGACAGCTGTTGAGCAGCGGTGTTTTTGGATGCAAAATCACAAAACCAAAATCAAAGTAAAATAATAAAATAAAAAAAAATTAATAACAAAAGTAATACAAAATAAAATTAATATAAGTTTATAGCCAAAATAATTCAAGCCCGTACACTACATCATATTTTAATCAGATTGGTCTTATATGCACAGTAGTCACAAAAATGTAATTACTTCAGTTAAAGCAAATATAGTTAAAACAATGATAATTGTTTGTATATTTTATATATTCACTTTATAACATAAACAGAACATATGCTTATGGTCTTTAAATACACAACATGGACTGTGCATTTATGTTCTTCATATGACAGCTGCAAAATGAGTTTCTCAACTTTGATTTTCTTGCCAGAGAGGCTCAAAAGGAGAGACCCTGAATTCCTTGGTACGTGTTGAATACAATAACCAAAGTTTAGGTGAATCGCCAAAGGTGGAATCTTCTGCAGACATAGCAGCTGAATACAATTATAATGCCAGATTTGAATGCACCTTTGATGATCCATTGACATTGGATGAAATATCCTATAAACCAGTGCTTGGTAAGTACACCATTACTCATAAGGTATCACTTATAAACTCTTCCTGTACTTGAGTTCATTTTAACAGCTGTGTTAGACCTGTATTCCTAGAGTGTTTTATCTTTTACACACACTGTCAACTAGGATATTTCTTATTTGTTATGTTTAATTGTATTATGCCATGCTTTATACATGTGTGTACTGTTTAGTTGTGAGGTAAAATTTTTATACCAAAATAATTTCTATTATTATACATCTGTCATCGTAACGCCATAGGTTACAGCGTGCCGTAATTTTACGGTATTTTACAGAGTATTTCATCCTACCATATAAGGAAATGCGAATTCCAAATATAGAATGATTACGCGTGTAAGCGTCCTCAAATAATGAAAACAAACATGGCTGCCACAAGGGCTTGACTGGCCTCCACACAAAGAAGTTCACTGATTCTTTTCCAAACTTTTTGGATTTTGGCATTTCCATGATGTATCCTTAGAAGGAAAAGATGTATAATAAGGTTATTATGAGGATACCTAAAAGTACTCACTCAGACAGTACGCCGTCGCATCGATTTCCGGTGCCCGTCGGTCAATACTCTAGCTGTACTGTCTTCATGCATACTTTGAGTTATCTTCATAATAACCTTATTATTATACATCTTTTCATATTATTCCCATTGTCTTTTTCATCATATTATTATTAATATTTTCAATAAAGATACATTTTTGTATGTGTCATGAACCAACACACTGTTAACCCCAAGACCATTTTATCATCTCTGCTGCAGTTTCTGTGATAGAAGTTCTCCCAAAAGAGAAAAAACAGAAAGAAGAGAAAACAGTTGCACTTGGACAGAGCACTGTTGATTTGTTACCATTGTTGAGAGGTGAAACCAAATACAAGTGTACTTTAGTTGTACATCCACTAACAGGATCACCATTGGAAAATGCTCCACCTGACCAAGCAAAGGTATTATTTATTATAATTTAACTCTATAAACATTGACCTTCCCTAGTACTGATCGAAATTCTGATTTTCATGTTTACTAGTATTTTATGTTTGTGCAGACATTTTTGTTTTGATAGTTTTAGTGGATGTGTACTTCCTTATTGAGGTATATGTAATTTGACTGGATTCTTAAATTAGATTCAGGGAACTCTGTTTGGAAAACAGTTACTCCAAAAGGTTCTTTAGAATTACAGTCTACATGTATGAACATTTATTGATGTTCCAAATTATTTCTTCAATTATTATTACTGAAGTCAATTGTTTTACTTTGATTTGAAACTTCTGGTAATTTGGAATTTTTTGAATTCTATAAATTTAAATCACTCTCAGACTGGTATTTTTAGATAAGAGAACAAATATACATTTATTCTGCTTCAGTTCTGTCCTTTAATTCTCACTTCTGACAAACACAAGCACATCATTGTTATTGTGAAAGTCCTACAACTACAATGTACTTTTAGTATGTACCACTTCAAATTGATACAACTGATATTTGTAACCTGTCGGCACTTTTCAATGATATCCAGAGACCTCATAATTTGCTGTTTTTTTATGACAACTGTTTACTATTTTATAAACTATTAACTCAGCTTGATTGTCAAACTTCTCATATATGTACCATTTTTGAGCACCAAATTTCTACAATGTTGCCTGTGTGATACTTTTACTAACTTTTCTGTCTTTGCTCTGTTTCAAATTATCTGTACCTAGCCATCCATAACATTTCAGGTAAAATATACAGGCAAATAGAAATCAATAGGGCTTTGCAGATGTACCAGCATGCTATTATACAATGTGCAGTTAATATCATAAATTCTGCAGTGTATATTTTAAACATTTTATGCATGTTTCTTTTTTTTTAGTTTCTTGCATTTTAATTTTATATTATGTATTATATGTTATTATAGCATTGATAGTTATCATATGTTACAGCAAGGAAATTATTATTTCAGTTCTCATTCAGTGTCTTTATATCTTATAATAGGTTTTAGTTTTTCACATTTTATAGCTTTTTGTGCATGCAATTTCTTTGAATCAATCAATCATTGAAGGTATTCTCTTATTGCTTTGCATGTTACATTCTATGAAAACTTTGATGTCATTTAGATAAGCAATTATTGTATTATGAATGGTACATCATGATTATTGTGGTCGTTGGGAATGTTAAAAGTTTTACAAGTTTTTGTTTGAGTTTCTAAAAATAAGTCTTCAATAGACAAATTTAATTTTAAACAGTTGTGTGGCCATGGGTGATAGAAAGATGTTAATGTGTGCTATTCAGCCATTAAAGTGGTCTGATTGGCAGCTTTGTGGTAAACTACATGTATTTTTGCTTTCACATGTGGGTTTGTATAATTCAATGTATATGTACAAAAATGTTCATTTATTTAGTTGTTACTGTCATTTAGGCATCAGGCGAGAGTGAAAGGCTATCATTCGGTTTTAAAATAAATCAAATAGTTGACATTTTATAGTAAAAATCAGTATCATTAGTATGACCTCAATTACAATAAAAACCAACTTATATAATGAACATATATACAAGGTCCTATTTGTAACATATTGCTTCAAGAACCAACCATCTTTAAAAACTGATGGCCAGAAATTTCTTTAATTTTGAGCCCTAATGCAGTAGGGATTCATGTTTATGTGTTTGTCATATGCAATTGTAATATGGCTGTTATTTATACTGATTTGTTTGAATCATTGTAGGCGGAAATGGATGTTGTTGTGTCTGTCAATGAACCATTGCTTACTGAAGAACAGTTAAAAGATTGTAACTTATTAACAGTCTCTGTGGAATCGGCATATTCTGTTCCTGAACCATGGAATCCAACAGGACCAGCCTTTATCTATAATGTAACACTGCCAGTTCCAATAACAGCAGATGTAAGTATTTATGATGCAAAACATAGGCACATAAATGGATTGTGGGTATTCATTGTTTTGTGGGAATATGGTGTCCAACATCAGTATTACTTCGTCCACTGTTTCATAAACAACTCATATCTCTTTACTTAAGCTGAAAAATCTGTTGATTTTTTTTGTTTAGAGAGAAACTACAGTTGTAGCTACCAATGGTTTGCTCAAAGCAGGTACAGATAAAGACATGCCAAGCAGACAAAAGAAATGGTGTGTTCCTGGTACTGCACAAGGTGGTGCAACTTATATTCCAGACAGGTACCACTATTAATTATTGGATAATATGAGAGAATGCCATGCCCTCACCTTGACATTTGTGGAATATGGAAGTTATTTTCACGAGTGATGTGGTGATCCTGTGGCCTTATTTTCATGAGTTTCTTGCTTTGTTTGTTAAAATACAGCATGGCTACACCATATCATGAGTGACCTAAATTCACATGACCTAAATTGTATCCAGTATTTTCCATGCAAAATGTTAAGATATATTATTTCATTGTTTCAGAATTTGTATATGGGCAACGCTGAAATAGTTGTGCTATGTTTTATCTGCATAACATGTTGCATAGACACAAATACTTGAGTACACGGTATTTGTGTATGTACAGCATATGTACACATTATTTGTGTATGTACAGCACATGTACACAGTATTTGTGTATGTACAGCATATGTATACAGTATTTGTGTATGTTCAACATATGTACACAGTATTTGTGTATGTACAACATATGTACACAGTATTTGTGTATGTACAACATATGTACACAGTATTTGTGTATGTGCTACATATGTACACAGTATTTGTGTATGTTCAACATATGTACACAGTATTTGTGTATGTGCTACATATGTACACATTAT